TCTGGACTCTCCGCGGTCGACATCAAAGCCCTTTGTCGACCGCCCCGGTAAACCTCATCCCACGAGGAATAATGGGGCGGTCGACAAAGGGCTTTGATGTCGGCAGGGGAGTGTCCAGACTAGCGTGCTGAGTTGACAAACAGCTGATTAGCTGTTTGTTGGTTCAGCGCGTCAGCCATTTAAATTTAAATGAAGCGGCGATTATTTAAATTGCCGCTTCATTTCCCTTTGCCTACAACCCTAATCTACATGGCTCCATCGATGGAGCCATGTAGTCTAGACACAGCCAGAATGGCCATCAGAGCACCTGTGCTTTTTCCTTCTGGAGCATCCACACTGGCCTTCTTGCACAATAGCTGTAGCGCTAAAAGCAGTTATGCCTCAGAAAAGGAGGTTTACCTACGGCAGAAAAAGCCCTCTGTTCTGCTGTTTAACTGACCATTTAATTGCGCCAGAGCCCATTTGCAGTGTGGATGCTCCCCAGGTTTTTGCACAAAAACCTTGTAGTGTAGACGTAGCCTCAGAATTTGGCCCCTTAACTATATTTGCATGTTTTCAAGGACATATCAAACAAACCAGGTGGATTGCATTTTATTCTGTATGGGATTATTTAAAAGAGTGGCATAACTAATAAAACTTCCAGTAGGGATTTTCCTAGTGCATATTGCATGTGCTGTTTCCTTCCTTCATCCACACTTGGAATATGGTAAAATATTCTTGGTTTTTGACCAGTGGAGTCATTTTGTTTCCCTGTCTATTTAGTCAGTTGGTTGTATTTATCATGTATTCCTCTTCTTACCTAGCATGAAATTACACTACCCTTCTCTAGTAAAAATATGCAAAGGATTTCATTTAGCATGCTTCATGCATTGAGCTAATTAAGGAAAAAAATTCTTTGAGCTAATTAACTATGGTTTGTAAGTGTTTTCTTCTGGGTTTTGCATAAAAGTATAAACATTTGAGAGCAGCAAAAGACTGAATGCTAATGAAAAAAAAAAGATTTGTATGTTATTCCCCAGTACAGTCCTGTTTGGGATCACTTGCAATAACTTGACAAACAGAGTACATGGGGAAAATATCCAGTTATCTAAACCTAGCAACAAAGGCATGAGAGTCTAAACTTCTTTGGAATAACTTTCATTTTAACTTACACATGAAGAAAATATAAGTAAAGCTGCTGCAGCTGAGAGCTAGGGGAAAAGGCTCATTACCAATTAAAATACATTTTTTTTCAAAAGAAATGCTTTTTTTCTTCTTCTTCTTAATGTCTAACTTGCCTGTTTTTAAAATTCTTTTTGTCGTAAGGTACTTTGTGGATAGCTGACAAATAGTTTCAGTTCTTTCTCATTCAGACTGTAGGTCAAGGTGTGTTGTGTTAGTAATAAGCATAGATAAAAACAATGTTTAACTCACCCAGAAGTAAGAGATTGCTTTATAACTTTAGTAGAGAGAGATTAAATTCCACTATAAACTACTGATAGATGTCTGGAGATTGTCATCTTTTTACAAACATCAAGCATCTTCTTTAATACCAAACAGGAAAGTTCATACTCTCAACTGAATTACTTTAGTTGCATGACCTTACTCTTAAATTGTTGCTTATTTCCTCTCGCATGCCAATTTATGAACTCTAAAACTTGCTATAGAAAATTCAGGCTGTGTTGCCAAGTTAAGATCCTATCAAAACAAGCTGAAAGATAGCCTAGTCTTCTGTGATGTGGAAAATAAATTTGCTAAATAAAGCCTCTTTCTTGTCTTTGGTAACGTATAGGATTTTGGAGAAGATGATTCCCTCTACATCACCAAGGTAACAACTATTCACATGGGCAATTACACCTGTCATGCCTACGGCTATGAAGAGCTGTATCAGACCCACATCCTTCAGGTGAATGGTTAGTAAATAGCATATATGACAATCCACTGAAAACATTCCTGTAAGCAATGCTGAATGTTAATCTTGTTCTCACAAAACTATGAAATGGAGAATGCCAAATTTTCTCTGTAAAGGGAAAATACACAAATCTTGGTTCACACACTCACATCATTCTGTGGTATGCAAGTAAACAAGATAAAGTTAGTAAGAATAGACATATCTAGCCTTATAGGGTTGGTTAGGTTTTAATAGGTATATCAGCCATTATAAAAAGTAATGTTGGGCTTCCAGCTCATCTGAATAAGTGGGTTTTGCCCACAAAAGCTCTCATGATATATATATATATATGTTGGTCTCTAAGGTGCCACAGAACTACTCATTGTTTTTTAAGTTACAGACTAAAACGGTTATCCCGCTGATACTTTTGATCAGTAGGAATATTACTTCAAATCACTAATTCATAGTTAATTAAATAGTTTGGATTGTTTACATAAATACTCCATGAATAGCACAATCCTCTTAAAGCCAGTTATTTGGTATTGGTCAGACTATTAGCTGGTGTAAATCAGCATTGTTCTCTTCAGGCCAGTTTACACCAGCCAAGAATCTGGCTCATTGGGTTCCACAGTGAAGAGGAACTATTCAACAACAAATACATCTGCTCATGTAGACACACATTCTGACATTTGGTGCACTATCACCTTGCTTCTCAAAGAGTGCTATGCAGTAGACCTCCATCAGTGCAGAGCTTATATTCACCATTATAGCTGGTGAATCACCTTTTTGCTTTCCCAAGCCTGGTCTGGCTAATGACTATAATGGCCCCCTTCTGCCTCAGTCCTTCCTTACCCTTCACTGTGAGCTCTTCAGCATTGGTTAATCCTTGGCTGTCCCTTTAAGGCAACTGTTTGGCTAACGGGTGCAGGTGAGGAAGTGAGGAATTAGTGGATCTGGCTCACTCACTTCAGTCAGACTACACAGTGAGCAAGATATATTGAACTAGAGTAATGGTATCAAACTTTGGCCCCACATATGGGTATCCTTTAGAAGGCCATGGACTCCCCTACTCATGCAATGTAACAATTTGTTTAAACACTCTGGCCCTGAATTCTAGAGCCTTCCCCCAGTGCCATCATTTACATCTGTGCAAAGTGGATGTTACTGCTACTGTCCGAGTCTGATAACATTTAGTATCCTCTTCCCTGGTGTAAATGGTCATTGTTAGTGCACAGACTAATATATTCTATCTGCACCCTTGTATTCATTTGGTCAGAGAATCAATTTTTTTTTGTAGAGTAAAACTGTGTTTACTCCCATGTTCTGAAAGAAAACCTTGTGTCTGTCTGATATTTTAAGGGTGTTAGTTTAGTGGAAATATTTTGTCACAGAACAAATGATTTTTTACAATAACACCCTTAATGAGCTATGAACTTTCCAGACATTCAACAAGAAACATAGCCCGAGAGCAGCTCAGGACAGAAAAATACACACAGATCAGTAGATGAAGGTTAAGGCAAAGCGGAATATGACAGGAATTTTTATGCAAGTCAAGTTAAAGCCATGGTTAAAATGAGGCTTTCAGGAGACTTCAGTGTGATCAGGGTCAGAGCCTTGTGGGTTAGCACAGGGAAGTCTGTCTCCAAGCTATTGTCTGGTGGGTCTCAATACCCTGACAACATAGAAAAGTGGGTGTAGGTGGGTGGTTGAGTGTGGAAAGGGGGGGAATATGAGCCAGAGAGGATGTAATAATACTTCATATGCCCAACACTCCCCACACAATAGGGATAGGCTTATCGGGCAGTTGAGTCACTACTCAACTAGTCGCTTCCCCGACCCCCCTTGCTGCCAGCAAGGGAAGGAGTAGGAGCTGTTGCTGGGGGAAGCCAGCTTAAAAAGTGGTTCCCCCCAGCACCATCTTTGGGGGGCTGGGGCGAGGCAGAAGCGCAGTGGTAAAACGGCTCAAGCAGGGACTCAAACAGTCTCCACTCATGCCAGGTCCCAGCTGCTGTGCCTCTGCATTTGAAATGTAGCAGAAGCTCTGTGAGGCTCTTGCTATATTTCAAAGGCACAAGCACTGCAGTTCTCCACAGGCGGCAGGCACAGTTCCCCCAGGGTGGCTCTTACTATATTTAAAAGGCAGAGGCACAGACGGGATATTAAGCGTTCCACCTCCCCCTTATCGACTAATCAAGTAGTCGATGGAAATTCCATCGACTACTCGATTAGCTGATTAATCGAAATTTAACATCCCTACCACACAACCCACCTTTCAAGATCTGTGGATCTTATGCATGCCTAACATGCGCTATACCTCCCCCACTGCACTACTTGCCACACTAAGGGTGTGTCTAGACTACAGAGTTTTGTCGACAAAAGTGGACTTTTGTCGACAAAACTATACCTGCGTCCACACTACCGCTGAGTTCTGTCGACATAACGTCGACAGAACTCAGCAGTTTTGTCGACGCTGGTAAACCTCATTTTACGAGGCATAACGCCTTCTGTCGACAGAGTTTCTGTAGACAGAAGGTGTTATTGCATGTAAACTGTCCTTTGCGTCTACACTACCATGTCGACAAAGCAGCTTGCTTTGTCGACAGAACTGAATGTAGTGTAGACGCTCTTTGTCAACAGAAGTTTTGTCGACAGTATCTGTTGACAAAACTTCTGTCGACAAAAGCCTGTAGTCTAGATGTACCCTATCAGCTCTGTGGGTGAAACAAGGCAATCACTGTGCTCTCAAATGAACTCACACTGGAAAATGAGAAGACAAAGGCTTCCTGGGTGAACACTTTTCACAAAGTAGTCACTCTATATCTGACCTATCTGTCTATATCCTCCAAGGAAACCTACACAAAACTTTCAAAAGATGAGCTTGAGAACTTAAATTCTTGTTTTCTAGGCAGTAAAAATCATGGTCTATAGAGACTGGATTTATGGCTTATTACGACAATCTGTCATCCAGTAAGGCTCACGTTTTGTCCTATGACTACAAGGATATTAAAAGTCACTTCACCTTGAATGATTCTTCAGACTACATGCTAACTCAGGGCATATAAGGCAATAATTTTTGATAGGGGGTCACTCCAAAATTTTGGTAAGTGGTCAAGGGTGCACTCTTCCATTATATTAATGAAGGAGGTGTGGGGGTTTGGGATGGAGGTGGTGTACAAAAGGGAGCTTGGGGTAAGGAATTGGGGTATGGGATTTGGGAGGGAGTTTGGGTGAAGGAGGGGATAATGACCTGGGGCAGCAAACTGGGGTACAGAAGGGGGTACAGGGTCTAGAAGGGGAGTGTGACCTGGAGTAGGGGTGCAGGGGGTTGGGTTGTGACCTGGGACAGGGGATTGGAGTGCAGAGTCTGGGGGGTATGGGTGCAGGAGAGGATCCTGGCTGGGGGTAGGGGTGTAGGAGGATGAAGTGCAGGGTATGGGGCAGGAGTGCAGGAGGGGGTGCAGGGATTGGGCCTGTGACCAGGGATAGCGGATTGGAGTGCAAGGTCTGGGAGGGGGTGTGACCTGAGGAGGGGGTGTAGGAGGGGATGCAGTCTCTGGGGAAGGTGTTCGGGGACTAAAGCAGGGGTACAGAGGGTTTCAGTTACAAGGGGTAGGGGTGCAGGAGGGTAGAAGAGAGTTGGAGGAGGGAGGGGCTGGGATGCCAGAGGCAGGCTCTGGCTTGGAGACTTTACCTGGGTGGTTCCCAGTCAGCAGCCCAATAGGTTCCTTAACAAGGGTCCCTGCCTTCCACGCCCCTGTACTCATAGCAGCTATAGGGGCCAAGCCCAGGGATGAGGGGGAGAGGGACACTTCACATGCTGCCTGTCCTACAAACAGGAAGCTGCTATTGGCTGGGGGA